CTATGTTTTACACCGAAGATCATTTGGTTAAAAACCGATAGCACTACGGTTGAGTTGATAATCAATCAGGCAATACAGTTCGAATTCGTGTCTGTGCAACACCCAGTCGTAGTAACTGTGCAATGTCAGTCAGTAACAACATAGAACTTCGTACGTACGTACATCAGTCCGAGTTGCCACACCACATCAGTTCAGAGATGGAGTTGTCGATTCAAATCCCGTAGTGATAGAGGTAAGAGTAAGAGTATAAGCAGTAATCGGGAAGATTAAGTTTTGAAGATGTTATTTAAAGAGTATGATCCAGTGAAATTCGAGAAGAGAAAAAAAAGAGACAAGGAGGAATCATGAGATCGGAATTCGGGAGAACACAAAGAGTGTATGCACCTGCGCCATTGTAAACGATTCTGAGCCATGTCATTCAGGGTCTCTAACCATCGGTTGCTATCATCTCGTGGTCCCCAACCATGTAGTCTACACCTACCAACATGACTCAGTCCACTTGTCAGTGACTTCATAGACTTGTGCCATGTTTTGATCTGGCCGCCCCTAGCTTTCTTCCAACCTACTCTTATACCACTGAACATAGCACGTCGAGGCAGTCGGTCGTTGAGCATACGTAACGCGTGCCCCAGCCATGTTACGTACTTTCCGCGTACTCGAATCGTTTGCCTTAGCGGTGTGAGGTGAAATAGGACACGAGAAGAGTTAGCCGGGGAGATAAGAGTGGTATTAGGAGGTGTGGGAAGGATTTGGATGTGATCAACTTGGTCTCGTGTGCTGTTACGTATATGAGGGCTGGTGTCACTTCCCGGCTGCCCACACAGTGAAAGGGCATTTGTTGAGGAACCTGAAAAGGAATCCGATTTGATGTCGGCCTCAACAACCTGGGAGCGTGACCGCAGAGCCCAGGAGACAACTGCTTGAAGCCCGTCGCGCACAGCCTTTTTGTAGGAGGTTTTTGACGTGTTGGCTCCGTTCTTCAAAGGGCCTTACCGCCGGAGACGGAAATCCGTGAGGTAAGGTGAGGTGTGACATTTTTAGGGTTGACTTTTCTAACCCCTTCCTTTCTTGTGAGAGGCAGCATCGCTGTAGATGCTGGTTGTCCGAGGGAAACACCTTACTGTCGTCACACCCCTCTACAGTCAGCAGTACCACTTCGCCCTCAGACCTTGAGTTGCTGCTTTTAGTCTTATCGTTCTCCAATCGACCTGCCTGGCATGGTAGAACCTACAGCAACATATGCTCCAGCCAATATAGCTCGGTTGGGTCATCACGATAGGCAAGCCCGACCACCCCGTCAAGGTAGCAGCTACGGTCGGGAACTGCGCAATAACTAACAGGCGAAATAGTTGCAATAATTACATGATCAGTCATGCAGTAGATATCGATATATTAGGACATTGCAAACCACCGGAAGTATGCTTAGTGACACTGTAGAATTATGGTCCACTATGATATTAGTACTGCGCTAATAATAGACCTAATCCTAAAATTGTAGATTTGTCATGATATAACTGCCTAATCCATAAGATCTTACGTGGAAGTCACATCATCGTCTACATCAACTCATCGTATCGTAACAATCACCAATACATGATGTAGAACAAGCTCAGGCTGAAGATAGGACAATATATTTAATCGGAATAAAAGATACAAGGTAACATTCAGTAGGGACCACGCCTGCATGGCCGAGCAATGCCATTCGATCAACTCCAATTCATTCAACTCATTGTTCGCGCCGTCTCCATCGTTAGGTATTTCTCCGCGTTAAATATTGAATATCTATTTTCCGAGCAATCACGTATTCAGCTTTGAGGATTGTGTGGTTATTGTCCAATGCCACTACACTACTCTCCCACCAGAATCAACGTGGTATTGGTTCGATACCAAGTTGGATGGGATTGTCGCGCGCCGGAGGTTACCAAGAATAAGTAGAACCCTCCGGATATTGATAAGCTGAAAGATAAATCAAAAAGAAGGCGGCAGCACCTGGTCGAGAAATACATTTAATAATTTTAAAATATCTGCCTTCAAGCTTAACACGCTTAAAATGAGAATTTGGGTGAAGATTATTTGAGCTATAAAAAATGGGATTACAATAACAATAATAAAAAGATGCGTGTTAATAGCCGTTGGTTAATAACGTATAGGTAGTAAGTATTTTGTGTTTAGAAATATTAAAAGCAATCAATATTGTAGAAATGTTAATATTGGTATTAGTTTTGGTTTAAATTATTAAATCAAATAACGTTAATGCTAGTAAGTTGTCCATGAGTTGATTTTCGATTGCATTTGTATTAGTAGACTAACTGAAGGAACAAAAATATTACCGTGGAGAAGAGTTCCAACTAGTGTTCCAGTTAGTTTGACACAGTTTATTTAGTTACGGGGAGATTTTCTCAACCTCATTTTTACTTGACCGTGATAGAATTTAGTAATACTACTAATACACATGAAGGGTTATCAAAACAAAATTTAAATACGTGAGTGATAATTATATGAATTTTGGACAGATAACTAAGAGCGATTCGTTAAACACGATTGCATTCGTAAGAGACATGTTCTAGACTCAATGTTCTGATCTGCGGCAGACTATTTATTGATATTTATACTTACCGGCTGATTGGGCATACAAGTTAGTTGCAAGTACGCGGTTTATTATAAAGCGGAATACGGCTTAATTGAGATATAATGGTTATAAGTTATTGAAATCAGTTAAGCCTATGTGTCATATTCCTAGGTGATGTGGTGCTGCAAGATGTATTTGACTAAATAAGTTTTTACAAGATGATTAAATAGTGAGTGATGCTCATGTGATTATCAGGGAGAACATAAGTTGTGAGCAAGGGGAGTACACTCCCAACTCATGACTATGATAATGGCTTGAACCTTAGTCAGTGTTGGGGTAAATTCGACATTGATGTTTTCAGTTTGCAGGAGATTTGCTCGACTGCTTATACTGATTATTTGCATGCATGATTGTGTCGCTAAACCATCAATAAGACTGACAAGGTCTTGAGATATTTACTGAATGAGCAACTGATAGAGAAACATACTGTAATCATCTGTGATGGATGAGGATACCAAGAAAACAACACCATTTAATGGTAATTATAAGTCAATTTGTTGACCGATTTCGTTAATAGTTTCATTAATTTTATCAGTCACATTACGTGATTGTCAAGTTATGACAATGCTTTATGACGATATCCTGAAACTATTAAATTTAACTAGTCATAGTGTTGATTGAGGATTAGTCAGTGGAAAAATAGGTATTGTTGCTTTAAGTGATTCGAAATCATCAGAAATTTACAACGTTAAGGAATCCGAGACGCCTAATTTAATTATAAATTTCAATTCAGAAATATTCGTTTAGTGTTAATTCTAGTAGGCTACGGAGTTTTGATTTTAAACGTTTGTTTAACCAACAGCTACCTGGGGATTTAGTTATTTTACTAGTGCAGTTGATAGTACCCAAATTTTCAATCTTATTATCTAAACTATGTTCGCATTTTAGGCTAATAATATGATAAATCAACCCATAACCCCAAATACGATTAGCAACAACGACTATGATGGGTTTATTGATAAATGTTAAAGGCGATTCAGATGGTTTCTAAATTTAGAAGACATGAAGATATAGTGTAACGTATGTACGGGCCAGGTTAACAAGCAGGTTGTTGACGTATATGACAATTTAAAAATAATGAACATGACCAGATAAATAAATTGAAAGTTAAAAATGCTTGTGAAACTTCAGGCAGGAATATGACGCGTTATAAACTTTCCATAAGAAGTTACTGCATTTAGCCTAGGGACACTTACAAATATATGGCAAAAGCAACTGGAAAACATATACACGTTAAGTACAAAAAATCATTAAGTAAAATAGTTGAACTTGCCTGGGTTATTTTTGAAAATTAGATTATTCAGTAGACGACATATATAACACCATTCGTGAGGAGTAGTAATGATCCAAAAGCATCCAGAATAAAACATGCAGTATGGCAATCACTTCCAGGGTGCCTGATGCTGTTGACATTCACAATGAATCCTTCAGTTTGTTTAGTTCTGGGATATCACATAGTAGTGAGTTTAGGCTAGAGTGAGTGTAAATAAGGCATCCTCCTCCTCGTCCTTTCAGTCTATCGCTTCTATATGAGAAATAGTTAACAAGAGATATACGTAGGTCGGAAATATTACTGTTAGTCCATGCTTCAGATATCACTATAAGTGACCACGTGGTCGGAAGAAAGAGGATATGTAATTGTAGACATAATCATCTGAATGCGAGACTTCTGAGGTAGCTGCCTAGATATTGGGAAAAGTGTCTCCCATCGAATGCGTAGAGATATGTCTATGATGCTTGGCTAATTGACTTGAGCTAGAATACTTGCCAGAAGTGGTAGTTTCAATAAAGAGATCGATTACCTCTAAACAATTTGCTCGGGGAACTTGCTTGCAGAGAAAAATAGGGGCAACACAATCATGATCTTAGTCAATCTTGGCCATATTCCATGTGGACGCCGATGACTGCCCGTCTTTGTAGCTTGCTATGCTTAGCAGCGTCTGGTCATCTTTCCTTACTATAGGTGAAATCTAGGACATATTCTACTTCATAAATGCATAACTATTGGTATTTTCGTTCACAGGGCTTTCATCTATTGAGCCAACAAGCGATAGCTCTTAAGATTTCACTTCGAAACTAAACCACTCTATTTCGCACATCCGTCATGGTAATGACGTGGAGTAAATTCTACTGGTTTCGTGGCACGTCCAAAACTAAATTCGGGTTTGAATTATTCAATAGTCTCTCAAGGTTCCTAGAATCCGGCTTAGCTTACTGAGCGCCACGATAGGTAAATTCTTTCTTCTAGAACTCCTACTTCCCTAAAACAAGCGTATTCATCCACCCATCAACTTCCCTGGAGTAACTGTGACAGAATCCCTGAAATACCCACATTGGACAACATTTAACAACAAGAACCGTGAGGCGGCTACAGAAAGTGAACTTAAATATATCGGTCAGTTTGTGCAAGCTCATCTGAAAGATATTGGATATTGTACCTATATCTGAAACATATTTCAATGCCATCCTCCTGGCGGGAAAGGGTTCGACCAGCTAGTTCCGTGAGTCCTCACAAAGTTTCTGTATGATTTTTCGTGTTTAGCTTTTTCGTTTCTAAATTTTCGGGTTGTTATAATATCGTGTTAGTGGATATGAGTCAACTAATAATGCACTAATGTTATACACTGCATGGGTATACTGTATACATTACTATTTGTTGATTTTGGTTTGAGTCATATCATGTGATTTGAAGCAATATTGGTGGAGATGGAAGTTAACAAGTTATCAACAAAATTTCCTTGCCAATTCGTCAATAATTCCCGTAGGCTTTAAATCCCTCAATTTGTTTCCAAAGGGCACACAATTTGGTTCGTCATACATTTCTATTAATAAGCATCCCAAACAACCAAAAGGGGGAAATAAAGGGTTGAATGCTTTAGAAGAGAAAGGGGAAAACGCATCAGAATGTCGCCTTTTTCGCCGCTTTGTTGATGAATTGCCGACTTTTCGCCTAAATATCCGCCAAATTGTCTACTTTTCGCCTAAATTTCCGTGGAATTGTCTACTTATACGCTTAGTTGTCTACTTTTTGCCTAAATACTTACAGAACTCCATACTTTCGATCCATTGACATAACCCCAAAGGTCTCCTATGTTTGCCTTTATTTTCAACAACAGACCAAACTAAAACTGCAATGCACTGGAAAAGCGGTATATTAAAAAAAAATTTATTTAAAATGAAAAGCGTATTATTGTACAACATTAGAGCAGAAGCTTCAGCATTGATTGTTTTGCATTTCCATTGCAATTGCTAATTCATTGTTATTTGAAATTATCTGCAAAAGAAGGAACAGGTGATGTATTATTTATAAGGAATGTGCATTTAATCAAAAGTTCACTGACACAAACACACATTCTCAACACTTCTATAGTTTCCCATGTAAGTAATAAAGTAAGCTCTTTTACGAAAAATTGTTTACTAAACATGAGGTAGAACATAAAGAAAATTGCACGGACTATTCCCTTCAACCATGTTCGTTCGGCTATTGAGAATTGAGGTAGTCGTCCCGCAAATTCTGAAGTGAAAAAAAACACAAAAAAAGTCACAACGATATCTCAATGACATGCTTTGGCACAGCCATTTACTTGAAGCTGAACTTACGGTTATGTTCGTTAATACTGTTGGCTGTAACTATAGAGCCGTAGGGAATTTATCACTTTAAATTAGTACATACCTGGTCTTGTTTCCTTCTATTACGCTTTATCATTTTGTCTCGGATATCGTGAAAGTAACCTTGTGTCGCGATGTCGTACAGCTCAGCAAGGTCTTTTTCGTTGACAGCGAATGACAGAAAGCGATTTGTTAAGGCACCTGAAGTTCAAATAATAAATATGAGTTACTTCGTATGCAGCCGTAAAACCGGCATTGCTGAAGTGCTCGTTTTGAGGAGGTGCCAAGTAACGTGAATTTACTGGCAACCTCAGGTGTCAAGAGGTGCGACAGAACATACCGCATTGATGTTTTCGGATCGTCACTTGATAACCTCGTAACCATTGCCATCTGTAATAGGAACAAATTATCAGATTAATGTTGATGACTTACAAATAGGTCCCTGGTTTCTTTCTGCTGCAAACCAGTGTCCAGCATCTGCAGTTCCTCTTCAGATGACAAAGGGAACTGCTGACTCGAGATTCCGCAGTCGAATTGATGCGGTTGTTCTCGTTCATTGGACTTACATAGTAATTGCTTCACGTTAATACTCAAATTAGTAATAGCTGCGGATATGTTCTGCATCAATTTGTACAACCTATCAAAGCTCAGCGATGTATTTGACATTATATACATCATAAAGTCGTTCATCAGCTCTGCGATTTACGAACTTCTGAGAGCACAAGTTCACTTCAGTACATCCTATAATTAATATTTTCACGTATGAACTTAATGTACATACCACTATTATCTGAAAGCCTCTGATTGATGTTGCTAGTGGATGGTGTAACAGTAGAAGTCCTGTCATTACAACTGATTTCTCTCTTTACTTCTATCAATTTAATAAACAACACTGTTGAACTCAGTTACCTTTTATGGTGCTTTCATTAGCAAACTCACTAAACGAAATAAAGTCATATTTTTTCATGAAAGCGGCTCGCATTTTATTCCACCTTCTATTATAAGTGGTTCTGTGACAGCCAAAGGTACGTGAAAAGTTCACAGTGGCCTTACGTCTACGAACATTCTCACTGACTTCAATGAAACTCATATTGGACTAACAAGGTAATAAGTTATAATGAACATGAAAATCGGAGAGCACGTCACTCACCTGCATCACGTAAGTTTTTTGTGATGGCTCCTAAGCATGTCGGAACACTTTAGCTAAACAAAATACGAAGTCAGTGCATATGCGTCTCACCCGAATGCCTGGCGCATTATTTTGTACCTTGTTTTTATGACAATAGCTTTGTTTTTTTATTAGGCGGTGCCTTAATTTGTCGACGTTTACGAAAACGTTAGTTCGGGATGCGGTATATTCAAACACTATGTTACGTATAATTGTCGACAAATTTCCCCAAAATACACGCCGTAAGGGGGAAAAATCGATATTTCCCCTAAATAACCGCCGTGAAGGCGAAAAAGCGACATTTCCCCTTTATTTACGCTTTCGTCCGCTTTATTTCCCCCTTATTGGTTGTTTGGGATATAGTGTAACACCTCAGAAATGTGGTAAGGTGTCTTGTAGTTACTTTCCTTATGTAGAAGTGCAATCTTATCTAGGTACCGTGTCTTTAGGTGCTGTAGGTCTCGAATTGTTCACATCTGGCGACTAGATCACAAGATGTTCTGTTAGCACGTCTAGTTTCTCGTAGAGGCTATACGTTGTCCTAGAAGTGTTAAACTATCATCATAAGCTACAGTCCAGAAGTGTGTGGGGGAAATTTTTGTTCAGTATTGAAGTGTACTTCACCATCGTTCTCAGGTCCTACAACTGTATGCGACACATCTACTTCAACATACTGACTTTGTATCGACAGCCTTCCAGGAGTTTTTGAGCATAATATATAATCTCATCCTGAGATTCGTGCTGTCACTGAGTTAGAAAATTGTTTAGCATAAGATGAATGTTGATATATGGCAGTGTTTTCAGAATGCCTTGCATTTCCAGCGGGGTAAGATTTACATACAACCACCGAACTAGCAGGATTTGATATGCCCTACACACTGGCTTAGTAAGTCCATTGAACCTATCTAATAGTTTCAATTACATCTTCACTTCAATGGCTTGTTTTATTGTATGATCGATTACTCTTACTGTGGATATCTCTTTCGAGATTGTTTTCATCGACAGATGGGTTTCAAACTTTAGCGTATCGTTAGCATTCACTTGAGATAGTGGTTCCTAATTCCAACATAGTTTGTTAAATGGGCTCACTCAAGTCTTGGGTGCGCATTATATCATTATTACAGTATTCCATCCAACGGCTAACGGACTTGTGGAGAGGTTCCAATGACAACTAAAAAGCGTTGGTAACTCAGCCTGAGATATCCTATTGAAATGAATACAACCTACTGCTTTTACTCAGGACTCGTTCAGCCGTTAAAAGGTTTGAATTGTACACCTGCGCAACTTGTTTATGGTTCTAGTTTAACTTGTTGCCCCTATACGAGTTAGATGTGCTGGCATCACGTCTTTCTGATGCACAATTAAAAACCTGTAATAACACAGGAAGCTTATACCAAAGAACGGATCAGTAAGCACTGTTGCACTTACGGCCTTTTTGTTCGGAGAAACACGTTCGTAGCACTGTCCATTTACTTACGCCTGTTACTCCTAATGGAGCATAGGCCGCCGCTTTTTCCCACAGTTGGTTATTGCTAATAGTGTCCGGCCAACGGATCCGAAGTATTTTGCGTAGACAACTGTTAATAAACACTTGTATCTTCTGGATGATGGATTTCGTAGTTCTCCAGGTTTCCGCCCCATACAGTAGAACTGTCTTGACATTTGCATTGAAAATCCTGACCTTGGTGTTGGTTGACAGTTGCTTTGAGTTCCAGATGTTCCTCAGTTGTAAATATGCTGCTCTTGCTTTGCCGATCCACGCCTTCACATCTGCATCAGATCCACCATGTTCATCAATGATGCTGCCCAAATATGTAGAGGTTTCTACATCTTCCAAATCTTTTCCGTCAATTGTGATTGGATTGGTGCATGTTGTGTTGTATCGGAGAATCCTGCTTTTCCCTTTGTGTATATTGAGACCTACTGCTGCTGAGGCTGCTGCTACACTGGTCGTCTTCTCCTGCATTTGTTGTTGCGTTTGGGACAGAAGGGCCAGATCATCTGCGAAGTCTAGATCGTCCAACTGCATCCTGGATGTCCATTGTATCCCGTGTTTCTTTTCAGATGTTGACGTCTTCATGATCCAGTCAATCACCAGGAGAAAGAGAAAGGGTGAGAGTAAGCAACCTTGCCTGACACCAGTCTTTACTTCAAACGACTTTGTCAACTGTCCTCCATGCACGATTTTGCAGTTTAATCCATCATAGGAATTCTGTATGATATTGACTATCTTCTGAGGCACGCCGTAGTGTCGAAGAAGTTTCCATAGTGTTGTTCTGACCACGCTATCAAATACTTTCTCGTAGTCAATGAAGTTGATGTAGAGTGATGAATTCCATTCAATTGATTGTTCCACAATGATCCGTAGAGTTGTGATTTGGTCTGTACACGATCTATCCTTACGGAATCCTGCCTGTTGGTCACGAAGTTGGGCGTCTACTCAGTCCTTCATTCTGTTTAACAATACCATGTTGAAGACTTTTCCCGGTATTGAGAGAAGAGTGATGCCTCTGTAGTTATCACAGTTGCTGAGATCGCCTTTCTTCGGTATTTTGATCAGAAGTCCTTCTTTTCAGTCTTTTGGTACTTGTTCCTCATCCCAAATCTTGTTGAAGAGAATGTGAAGTATCCTTGCAGTTACCGCTACGTCTGCTTTTAGTGCCTCTGCTGGAATGTTGTCTGGTCCTGCTGCTTTGCCACTCTTGATTTGCCTGATGGCCATGC